CATGAGACAGATAATCTGTGAAACGATCAGGTTCCTCTGGCTCCTCCTAGTGCTCCTAATGACATTTGTAAGAATCAACCAGGCCTAAATGAAAAGAACCAATCAGAGCTGAGACTTAGTCGAAAGTTACCTTCTGCAGCTTTAGACATGCAAGGAAAAAAACATTTTGATGTTTTCAGACTGTATTGATGGTCGGTAATGATGGTAAACATCAGCTGCTGTCGATGCATATTTAACATTGAGAAGTAAGACGATGTGTAACCCCAAATAGACACATGTGTTGAAGCTGAAAGAGGATATTATCTGTGTGTCTGTACTTGTTCACTCTTTTAGACTCCTCAGTTTGGATATAAAAGTGCAATATGGTCTTGGGTTTAGGCAGAAGATACATTTACTCACTCCAGATTATTGATGAACTACTCAGACAGCTGCAGAGGGAGGACGAGATTAATGTGATATCCCCCCATATGTTCCATGTATTCATTATATTTAAGTTCCCACATTGCTTAAGTTGTATTTTTTACTTTAATGTAAATTCATTTAGATTTGTTTTGTTTCATGTGTGTTTTCTTGTTTTCTTGTCAAATTTCAGTGTACAGTTTTTTTCATAATGCCTTACAGGTGATGTAAATAAACTGTAAAAATGTTTGTTCTTTTCATATAATGGCCACTAGTTAAATGTGTAAATAAATATCTCAAGCAAACTGAGTTCTGTCCTTTTTAAATTTAAACTTAAAGAGGGATTCAGCACGGGTTAAAAGAGACATTTGCTGACATCTACAACAAATTACACATTTTAAGTCTTTGCAGGAAGCGTAAAGGTTCAACTGATATAGATCGTTTTCTAATATGCAACTTTGCAATACAAAGTGATGCACATAATCACAGAGAAATTAAAATAAATCACAAAATTCTGTCATAAATAACACAAAGTAAGGTTAAGTCACCTAGAGTAGAGAACTCACTACCTTTTCCCGGTGCCTTTGACCTAATGATCAGCTTTCTGAACTCCACTGAAAAGGGGTCAAAGAGGACACGATGAAGACCATGAGCTGTACATATCTATGTATGTATATATGTATATACATATATATATATATATGCATATAAGATTTATTATGAATTATACACAAAAACCTTAACTACTTTTGCTTACTGTATGTAACATATAAAACAACAGGAACAGGACAACAGTGGATTCAGTTTGCCGTATACAATAACAGCACATGATCATAATACTGGGGCTAATAGCTTTCACTGTTACGTGTCCACCACTGTTACGTGGTAAATCTTGTTGGGTTGCCAGAAGTTGTCCTTGTTAATGGCCTATGATGACTACACTAGGAACCATTAATTAATGATTATACATTAACATGAATAAATCATTAGTTCCAACTTGTTTTCATTCAGGCCTGGTGGATTTCTTGCGCTACGAGCCAGAAAAATCAGATTTTTTAAGCCCCGCCCTCCAACCAACAAACCTTATACAGCCCTAATTAAAGCTGCAGTAGTAGTCATTTTTATAAAAATAAATTTGACTATGAAGACTGTTTGATATACAGGGTAAGCTGCACGTCTCTGTGTTTATACCCATCCAGCAGGCTCTAGCAGGTATCTGAACCATGATGTGAAATATCTTACCGAATAACACAGCTTCAAACTGCAGCTGCCTCAGCTCTCCCAGTGATGAGAGAGAGACTCTTCTCCTCACCTTGAGAGAGGTATCGGCCATAGAGACGTCTGCGCTCTACTGACAGGACAACATAAGATAGATAGGAAAGGGGATGGCAAAGGGCCACAGGCCGGATCTGAACCTGTGACCGCTGCAGCAAAGACTCAGAAATATCTAATGCTACAGATACCACTGCTGCCACAGATAACAGCAACATTTTCTGGATTGTTCTTGTTTTATTTTCGTTATTGGAGTTTTACTGTTGTACCGCTGCTCTGAATGCTGCTACTATACCATTAGTGCAGCTACAATTAGTATTGCCATTCATTAATGAATTCAATGTTCCATATACACCAATCAGCCATAACATTATGACTACCTGGACCAAAGTACTCAAATGAACTGCTCTAATCTATGGCATTTGCAAGAATCCACCGGGCCTGGATGAAAACAACCAATCAGAGCTGAGAAGTCTGACATGTCTTACATAATCAGAGCAGCAGAAAGATAAACTAAAATCTTCAGCAGTAGCGATAAGACGCTATAACAACAATCCACTAAACAGAGCTGTGAGGCATGTCAGAAAGAAAAATACTGAACAGCACTGTAGTTCATTCACTACATACTGGAGGCAGACTGAAACAGCAGCACAAGGGTTTGCCACTGGGAGTTTTTGCATTTGGTAATTGTTTATTATGAGGCTCAGTCATTTCCTGGAAGGAAGTATGCAGTGGGATTCTAATTATTGGAATCATTGGAATGTCCAAGAAAAAATATTAATTCATTATTAATTTATTATTGGAAATGTTATGCTCCATATAGCCTATATGGTCTGTTGAATTGTATAGTTGCCTGTAGACAGATTACACTAGAATCTAATTGACCTTGGTGAGAACCTCAGCTTCCTCCTTTCCTGTACATACATATGCTATGTGCTAGGCTAGTCTGTGTTGAAAAGACAACCACATTATGAAGATGGTTAGAATATAAAAGTGATGTGTATTTATAGTCACATCTTAAGTTAGCTGAAGTAAGGAAAATGCAAGATAACTAGCTAATTCACGTCAATAATTAGCTGGTTAGTTAACCCTAGCTAATCTACAATGAAAGTTAGATAGCTAGTAAGAACTGATAGCTAATGTTAGCAAAAGGGAAGCTAATTAGCTAGCTAACAATTGATGTAAATCAGCTAGCTAGTTAGCTAACATTAGCTAACTTAAGCTACACTGTGTATGTCTTTTATCTTTTAACCATCTTCAAAATGTGGTTGTCTTTTCAACATAGACTAGCCTAGCATATAGCATAACTAAGTACAGGAAAGGAGAAAGTTTAGGTTTAAAAGGAGCGGGGCTTAGGAAGGGTCAATTGGAAGTGGACCAATTTGAATACTGTCTATATTTTCACATTTTACATTCTTGGGAACAACAAGAAATTACAGACCTGTAACATAAATTATTTTTTGGACATTAGTTTTTGTTTAAGAAAGCAGCTGTCTCCACTGTCAAGTCTGAATAATCGCAGTTCCACAGCTATGGTTAGACTGTAACATAACGTAAGTTTTAAGTGGCACTAACTTAGTTTTGTTACAGAGTTACAGAAACCTTCCTGATTAATAACTTGTTTTCGCAGTCCAAATAAAAATTACAAAATGAAGTCATTCTCACTCAGCTATCTGATCAAGAATGTTTTTTTTTAACTTGCAAAATGTAGTTAGTTTTACTTTTTAAATTTTGATGTAATCAGTTTCAACATTTTTTTTGTTAAATGAACATATCTTGTTTTTCAGTGCAGAAACTTTATTTCCACTTCCACAATTATCCATAAATGGATGTAGCAACGCTCTTAACTTTTTTTTTTGCATATTGATACTTTTGCCCACTCCACCACTCATTAGACCTGTCAGTGAAAGGAACAATTAAAGGAAGGACAGTGAAGAAAAGAGCTTCTCCAACAGTATCAGAACAGCTGTCATTATGCACAGCTGTAGCACTGGTACTGCTATCTCATCACGTGTACCTATCTACCAGAAGGATGATCAATGATTAATCTATACAGCTCATACCGAATCAGACTTTATAAAGTGTTTTACAAATCAGGATCAAATGAAAAGTCATTAACGAATGGTTATAAAAGCCTCTCTGAGTAACATTTTTTTTCAGTACTGTTCAGTTCAGTTCAGTCACTGTATTATCCCAGATGGGTCACTTTCTGTAGGGAGTTTTTCCACCTTTGAACTGCAATGCGTAATTGTAGAATCTGCTATGTCCCCATTGGTTTGTGTACTGATCTATAGGCCCCCTAAGCCTGACAAAGACTTTATACCTTTTTTTTACCAACAAAATTGAGAACATTAGATCATCCTTTACCCTCACCTCATCTGTTACTCCACCTGATTGCTCAGGTGTATCAG